AACAGGGTTCACGTCATAATGCACATAGTTCCGTTTGATAGAAATACGTCAAATTAGTGCACATGGGTTGGATGGGATGACTCCTGTCACGAAATGTTAACCTCTTTTGTAGAATCGTTTTTGAAGCGAGAAGCTTCAAAAAACGCGATTTTCTTACGCAGATTGTGAAGTTAGGAGAGTGTATTTCAGACTTTACCGATGCGCTCATCGTGATTTTCAAACCATTTTCTGTAAGAATAAACTCTTCTTTTTGATCTGGCTGAAGTTTGCACCGAGTCCATTGAAGACTCAGTTCTAGAAACTGGGGAACTTCTATTCGCATGTAATTTATTCTGTATGCTATGAATGTAAAAAATTTGGTGTAATTCAATTACCGTTCGTTAAACTGAAAGTCAGTTCAGCGCATGAAGTGGCTGGTTCTTTCCAGTTACGATTCCAGGAAGCTGTCAAAACTGGCTTTCCTCCATTTGAACCTGTGTTGAATCATCGATTTTGGCAGGAGCACCGAGCCTCTTCGACTATCGATTTTCCGTTTTGCAATGATTAGGCATGAGAAAAGTTTAATTTTCGCATGCTCTTGTAAAAAATATGAGTCAAATATTTGAAGAAATTAAGGGTATGATATTAATAAGATATGCTTTAATTCCGAAGAGCTCGTTTAGTTTTACAGCACTGAGACGGACACAGCGCGAAGCAACAAAGAAGGATCTGAACTGACTTAGGTCAAAAACAAGGGATTGAACCACGCAAGCGTAGGCGTGCGAAACACGGGGTCATGGACCTCGTAAAGTCTTGAAGGGTGCGTCTATTCGTCGCCCTCATGATATAAAGGCGTAACTACACTCTGCAATAAGCCCTGTCGTCCCTACGATTCAATGCTTTTTCAGGCTCTATCGGTGTGTAGTTACGTCTTTATGTCAGCAGGGCGACGTATTAATCGTTTTTCGGGGTAAAACAGCGGTGATGTCGCGTTGTCAGATTAATAATCGCATATCTCCGACAATACTGCCGTGCTAAGGTAGAACGCCGTATGGACCTTCAGACGTTGTCAAGTTTCCTTTGATAAGAACCGATCTTACTGGGAAAATTGCGAATATTATTTTCCAAAATTTTTCGACAGTTTTGTACGCAATGGAGATGTTGCATGTGTGAGGAATTTGAGATTTGACTACTGATTCTTATGTAAAAGTTTGCGAGAAACACGATGGTGCCACTGGTTTTCTCTGAAATCAACTCCCAAGCTCAAAAAAAGCTCTCAAGTTGAGGCCAAAATGGAGCGGATATCCCACGCTACCCTGAGAGTCCACCTCTACATCAAAACAAACTTTCCATGCAAAGATAGGGAGCAAATACATTAGCAGGGTTGCCGTGTTTTCAGGTTTGGAGTCCCCAAATGAAGTTGCAGCCCCGTCGAAGTATTTGCTTCCTATCTTTGCATGGAGAGTTTGTCTTGATGTAGAGGTGGACTCTTAGGATAGCGTGGGATATCCCCTCCATTTTGGCCTCAACTTGAGAGCTTTTTTTGAGCTTGGGAGTTGATTTCAGAGAAAACCAGTGGCACTATCGTGTTTCTCGCGAACTTTTACGTAAGAATCAATAGTCAAATCGCAAATTCCTCACACATGCAACATCTTCATTGCATATCTCCGACAGTAAACCCCGCACTGGAAAAAAAAACACATTGGATCTAGAGTCCAGACTCTTGAAAACGTTGACAAGAAAAAATACGCTTGATTCAATCGGATTTTTGCTTGGATCGAGAACCAATCCTCTTAATTTAAGCGGATTTCCTTTTGATCCAAGCAAAAATCCGATTGGATCAAGAGTAATTTTTCTTGTCATTGTTTTCAAGAGTCTGGACTCTAGATCCAATGTGTTTTTTTCCCATTGTTTCTACGGTTCACATGGCCTTTAAAAGGGGCTGTCCGTGAAGTACGCAACGCGATTTTCCATTTTTTTGATATCGGTAACGCGAGCGTATCGCCAATACAGACGACTTTTTTTCCAGTGTAGAGGGAGTCCCTCCAAAACTCCCTCTTAAAAATCCCGGAAATCTGCGACGTAGGAAACGGTGACACGTGTTTTAGCGGTTGCACCAGCGGTTGGGGTCCGCGGCCTTGGCCAACCAGAGCGGTTCTCGAGCGGTGGCTCAGGGGCACGCTAAGGGGTCGCCGCGGCTGGTCTGTCGGGCAAAGGCGGTCCCGGGCCCCATCCAGCGAGCGCTCCAATTCCTCTACTCGCGCTGAAATGGAAATGGAACTCGGAGATCTAGCGCCGACATCCCGTTGGCGGCGGCGTCGCGTTCGCGGGGAAAAAATGAATGGACGCCGCGCCGCCACGCGGAGCAGCGCCGCCATCGAGATGAATGAACCGTGGAGGGGGAGGCGCGGTGAGTGGTGAGTTGTCGGGTCTTGAAAGTAGTGGTCTCTCTGTTCCCGCCGGACGCTGACCCGACCCGCGCCGCCAAATTTCGCGCCAAGTGACACGTTTTTACCCCAAAAATATTGATTTTGAGTTAAAATTCGATCGCATTTACACCGAAAAAAATGGTATGCTGTTTTGGCACCTAGGATGTCAAAAATGTGTCTGATCATCCTAAGATGCTACCTTGATTGCCCACGCAGTTGAATTTGCATTCGTAGGATGTAAAGTTAACTGCGAGGGCAGTAAAGGCAGCATTTTGGGATCACCAGACACACTTTTGACATCCTAGGTGCTAAAACAGCATACTATTTTTTTCAGTGTATCAAATGGACGGAGTTAAACAGAAAGGAACCGAGCCACATCGGGATCGAACCGAGTAAAAGAGGTTTAAAGTTTGGCTCCTGCATAAGACTCGATGTAAAAGATAAACTTCAAGCTCAATTTCTGCAGAATTTGCTGAAACAAAAACTTTGAATTTTTGGCGATAGATGTTAGAGCAGTGGTTGAGTTCAAAACCACTCATAACTCAATTTTTTCCAAAATGTGGGTTGGTTCGTTTCTGCTTAACTCAGTACAAATGCGGTTACTACCGCGATTACAGCGTTTTCAAAATCCTGCGGCTTTTTTTCCCCTCTAAAAACACTCAATTTATAAAATTTACACAATTATTTCCCTTTAAAATTAACAATTTTTTGGTGGGAAGCAAAAGTTATTCGCTATTCTGGGAGATTTTTTAGATAATTATAAAAAAGCAGATCGCCTGATGACCTATGGGAGGACCGAATTTGTGGCGGTTAGGCGTCGCAGAACGCCGGAGAGCGCTGTGAGAGCGACTCTTATGATATGCAGCAAGGGCATTTTTCGCTTTTCTCCAGATTTGTCCTGATATTTTTTTTTCTTTTGTTTGTAAATGACCAAATTTTTCAAATCTTTTGGGCCAAATTAAAAAGTTATCCTCCCAGTTTGAACTAAAATACTTTTCCATTCGAAGAGAAAAATAATTGCATCTACAAAATGAGAAGAGAGATTATAAGTTTAAGGCGGAAATTCTCGTTTTCTGTGCCAAATTTGGCAACTCGCATCCGGCACTGTGCTTGTGCTGCTCGCGCTCTCGCCTAGATTACGTCATGAAAGTTGAGAAAGGTGGACTTGATTTGCGATGTATCGCTTTATCTGCCATTTAAACCTATGGAAAAGGATCGATTAACAGAATGTTCGCAACGAACACCTCAATAATCGATTCTTTACCATAGTTTCAAATGGGGAAATATCGATATCCGACCATCCACGCCTCGCCACTGGACGGAGAGAGCAGGAGCGAAAGGACCGAATTCAGATGCAAGTTGGATTAAAGTTCATTCAAAGATTTAGTTAAACAGCGAGAGTTGAAGTTTGAATTTGAATCAACTGGCTTGGTTGCAATTTCTTTTTAATTTATCTCACTATGGATGTGAAAAAAGGAAACCAGCCCATTGATTATTCCCGCAGAAAGACATATTTGGCGTAGCGTACTTAATTTCCTTGGAAATATTAGTATCGTAACTTTTAAAAAGCTTCTTTCAAACACTCTTAAAAACTGTTAGAATTTAATTTTCAGGTAACCCTTTTTTAGATATTTTTAAATGCTTGCACCTGATAGAAAATACGTAAAAAGGCTCTATTTTTTAAAAATTTCTTTAACACTTCTTTCTTACCTAAATTCACCTTTCTTGCCTTTTACTTTAAAAAAAATGTCGAAGATTTTCAGGGTTTCCTGAAATATCAATTTCAAGTGTTGTTTTACGAGTCCTTTTCTTGAAAATTTACGAGCTATTTAAAAAAATTTCAACAGCCTTGCCGTGATAAGTAAAAACGCCGTAAAAACATTTGAATGTTGCCAAATTTCTTCTTTGAAAATAGTTATTTTTGAAGAAAGTTGTGAATATTTCCATTTGAAATTTTCAGACTTTTTAGATCGAATTACTAGCGTAATCCTCTGAAAAATCGGAGGAGAAATATTCACAGATATTCTTGAAATTCCGTGATTTGTCGAGGGAAATTAGGCAACCCACGATGGCTGATGGCTCTTACTTAGCACGCCAGAGTAGTTGCTAGTGTAGGTCAAAGGCGTGGCGTATATTGCGATAAATCGATTGATCTGACATTCAAACCTATGAAAAAGGATCGATAAACAGGGTGTTCGCAACGAACACCCTAATAATCGATTCTTTGCCACAGTTTCAAATGGGGAAATATCGAAAATCGATCATTCAAGCCTCGCCACTGGTGTAGGCAAAAGTGAATGGAGAAAAATGGTAGTAAGAATCCACTTTGGATGGATGATGTCCATTGCTCAGTAATATGAACAGATTTTGTGATGAAGCCAGAAAAAATGTGCCTTCAGCTGGAAACCCACATTTTCGTTGATGTTTATCCAGTGAAAAAATTATTTTGGGATGAACAATTCCAATTCAAATTTTTTGGTGCAAAATACTCTCTGATACTCTTTAAAACATCGGGTCAAAGTTTCAAGCTATAATTTTGGCAAGGAACAGACATTCTATGTTAGTGAATGAAGCGAATAAATGAATAAATAATGAATGTGGAAAATCGATGGATTTTATTGTAGAACAAATGTGTTTTAAATATAGGCATTTTCATTAAACAAGTTGTGGAAATTGAATCAATGATGAAGCTGGTGGGTTTGAAAGATATATAAGTATACCGAGGAAATCGCAGCTGTAATTTGGCCCCTAATCCCTGATACAGTGGAAAAATTATACAAATTACTTTTCTCCAGCCCATACAATTTTGATAGCTCTGAAAGAACTCAATTTAGAAAAAAATATCATCTTAATCTTCGATACAAGATTTGTTTTTGAAAGTGCAACCGGGTCGGTTTCCATCATTTTACAAAACTTAAAATTTAGTTGTGCGTTAGAAATATAAAGTCTGCGAAAAATAATATCGCAGGGTTTTCACTGGTATTTTATGATACAATGTATGATTCCAGAAAATCCTCCTCCTTCCATAAACACATTTTTAAATAGGTCTTACCAGGAGGAATAAATCGCATTTCTTAAAAAGTAGTAACTTGCCACTTCATTGGGAACTATGGATTCCATCAACCCTAAAAATTTTGTTTGAGAAATAACTGTGGCGAGGAATCTTTTTTTTCCTAAATAAGTGGTTGAAATCACTATTGCCTGCAGCTGGGACTGCTGTGTCAGTCCAAATGTTTGATGAGGTCTTGAAAATCTGTGACGTAATATTTTGCTTTGGACCTTACAGTCTCTCGTAATGCAACCCCACCATAACCTGCAATCAAAATGAAATTATTGTGATAAAAATTGAACCTATATTGATGCATTCATTGGACGAAAACCAAACGTAAGCTCAAAAATTGAATAGGATACACGCGGGCCTCTCGTAAAATCTTTGAGTTGAGTTGGCCTTTTTGATTTTTTACGGTCATGGAAGAATTCATAGGGCAAAATTGTGGTGGGTGGCAATTTCTTGATGGATTATGGTCGATTAGTCGCTAACAATAGAGAGAAACATGATTTTTCCTACAAATATGAGGGTAGTAGCTCCAACTGAAGGGACTTTTGAAAAAGAAGGAAAAAGTCATAGTTTGATCCATATAATACAACCTGGCCGTCTAGTGGTTTAAAGCAAGGACACCCGAGATTACCGAAAAGGGACAAGCGTTTGTGCGTTTGGAATACAGCGAAGATGAAGTACCAATTTCTATGAAATTGTAGAAAATGCCATCGAAGAAAATCAGCTGGAAGGTGCTCTGCACGTGTCTTAACCAATACCGCACCATATTTTCTACTTCAAAACATGGAGTAGGAGCTTGTTCATCTTCCCTTGCGCACGTGCTTCGTTAAAGTTTCCAATGAGAGCCCGACATGCATGCTACAATAATTAAAATGTCCAAGTAGTTCAAATTGCATAGCGCTCAAAATGAAGGCTTACTTCGTACCCTGCGCGTCGCGCCGCTGAAACATCCATGCAAAACCAGCTCCTTAATAATGCCACCTTGCTAAGGTAGAACGCCGTAAGAACACCCGACTGTTGCCATATTTCCCCAGGTCAAATGTTCACTTAGAAGGAAGGCAATGAAAGTTCTCTTTCGGAATTTCCGGATACTTGAGATTTAACTGCGAATAAAATTTTCTGAAAGAAAAGAGGAAAAACAATCGCAAGTTTTCCAGGAAACCCGCATTTCATCGTAGAAGATTTGGAAACGTTTGAATGTTTGTACGGCGTTTTTCCTCGGCACAGGAAAATAGGTGCATGAAAGGAGCTAATTGTAAGAGGAGAACTTGGAGAAATATAAAGTATTTTCAAATTAGTTCGTGATCGAGGCGCGTTGACGAGGGGACCAGATATGTCATCGGCAGATGTGTAAGTGGGCCGGTTCGCGCCGGCCGCGCCTGCATGGGGCGTTCAAATTAGTCACTCAAAGTTTTCTTAGAGTGCGATCAAAAGTAAAATAATGGTGTTCCCGGAAGAGCGGAGGCTCAGTGTAGTGGCGTTTCGTGAATTGCGATGTATCGATTGATATATAATTTAAACCTATGGTAAAGAATCGATTATTAAGGTGTTCACTGCGAACACCCTATCTATCGATCCTTTTCCATAGTTTTAAATGGCAGATCATTCAATATATCGCAAACGCCACGCCACTGGCTCAGTGGCTCGACTAACTACACCTATGTGAGATGAAATTTTGTGCGAAGTAGATTGGGACCAACAGCCTCGTCCAAAATCAACTTTCGCGCTGATGAAAATTCTTGAAAGGTGAGGCCGTTGAATCGATTGCGGCTTGCGCCGTACTCTGAAGTTTTTGCGTCTTTGCAACGATGTGCGGATTTAAGGGAACGGTGCTGCCCACCTCGTTTATCCAACAACCATAAACTGAAAGTCGTAACAGTACACTGAAAAAAAAAGTTACAGGCTTTATAGACATGCCCTGGTAAAAATTGGCAGTGGAGAATCTGTGTTCCTAAATACCATAGACCTAAAGCCGGCTATAAGATTTCCAGTAGCTTCTGTAGCCGGCTGTACAATTTCTTATGGTCTTTTATAGCCGATGGCGATTAAGCAACAGCCAGACGATAGAGTTTATACTAAACATTACTAAATACGGATACCAGGACTTAGTTAGTTTTTGGACTACTGCTCTCTTTTTGTGCCGTAGTATCTTCATTTATATTGCAAGGAAAGCTCCGTACTTTTGAAGGATGCCTGTCATTCTTAATATGTTGGAGCGCCTTCAATTTCTTATGATACTGTGCAATAACTCTGGTGTGAAATAGTAGCTTCAGACGCCGTGGCACGCTGCGGCGCGGCGGGCGGGCAGAGAGCGCGAAACGCGCATTGGCGCCTACAAACCTAACAGGGATACTTCACGCATTGCGTAATGCGTGAAGTATCCCTGTTGGGTTTGTAGGCGCCAGTGCGTCGCCGCTCCGCTTCGTGTTAGGCTCTAATATTTAATCTCGCGGAGTCAGCGTTTTTCAACTCATGATTTTGAAATGTTTGCACACTCTGTATGGACTACTCTCATTTTAATTGATGAAAAAATAATATGTTTTAAAGGAAAATATAATGTGTGTTTTTAAAATATTAAGGTAGTTCCGTATCAAACTTAATGATTTCCAAAGCACACGAATTTCTACACAATTTCTTATAGCCTTTTATAGCCAATGGCGATAAAGTGTAAAGCCCGGCGATATAGCCCGACTGTATACTTTTTTATAGCTTCGTATAGCCCGGCTATATGATTTGCTCCGCTTTCTACAGCCAGCTATATGATTTTCAATAGCCTTCTTTAGTCGGCTATAAGAACTCCTATGGTATTTTGAAACGCAGCTTCTATTGCCAATTTTTACCAGAGTGCCGTCTGTTCCGGGCTTAGATGCCGAAAGTTCCGGGTGCTGGGGCCATAGCTTCGATTGCTCCGGGTGGTACGCCCGGAACTTTCGGCCTCTGAGCCCTGAAACTGGACGGGTTGTCTATATAACCTGTGAGTGCATAGTGCGGGTTACGTGGCCGGAGTTTTTTTCCGTGTACCAGCTACAATGGGCCAGGTGCACTGGTCGCAGAATCGTGTTTTGATGCTTGATTCTTGTAGATTAGCTAAAAATACTAAGATTTTTCCAAATCGCAACGCTCTATGCTCAATACTAACCGAGATGTCGCACTTTGAAAAATTCGATTTATGACGTCATCCACCGCGGTAGTGATACCCTTGGTTTCTTCCACCTTAGTTTCATCAGTCAGGGAGGCTTATGCCGCAATCACACGCTGAATGTGGCTTGAATGTGGAAGTCATCGGCCCGATGCCTGAATTTTGCGCGTGACGCGCAAAATCCAGCAACGATTTTCAGCGACAATCGGATAATGTCGGTTTTGCCTGAACTATTCGAATAGATTTGATACACATTTGGCTGAAAATAATTCGAATTAGTAAAATTTCAAGCGCTGACTGTTGACCGCCACATTCAGCTGCCAAATTCAACGTGTGATTGCGGCATTTAATTTGCACCGATTAAGACTCAACGCGAAACTAAGGTGGAAGCACGGTGGAAGGAACCAAGGGTATATTCCTACCGCAGTGGGTGACGTCATAAACCGACTTTTTCAAAGCGCGATCCCTTGGTTAGTATTGATGTACAGCTCTTAGTATTTTTAGCTGATCTACAAGAATCAAGTCATCAAAACCCAATTTTGTGACCAGCGCAACTGACCCATTCATGACCATGATGCGAGAGTTCTGAACACTCTTCTAGTGTTCTTCGTGTTCGAAGGGTGAAAGGGTGGCTGCCTTTTTTTACCCATATTTTGACATGTTCATACATACATGAGTCGCTTTTGTAGCGCTCTTTGGCGCTGTGCGACGCCTAATCGCCACAAAACTCGGTCTTCCCACAGGTCATCAGGGAGTTGACACTCCCTCATTTCATTTAATACCCCCTGTCGCCACCCTCTCACTGTTGACATGTTCATGCTCTTCTCAAATAGGTACTCCAATCGAAAATGCATAAAACACGTTTAAGGATCGCTACAAACGCTCCATTACACTCATTCTCGTTCTCGCGAAAAATTTGGTGGAATTTTCAAACGGTTATCGCGGAGAGGTCACTGCATGGAAGGAGCCGCGATGTGCTGGGTAAGGTCATAAATCGTTGCGACATTCCGTTTTCCCCGTCGAAATGCAAAACTGAAAACGGAAGACGGAGACTTGGGCAGAATGTCAGAAAAGGAGCGACAGAAGATGAAAGATGAAACGCGCTGACCAAACCACACCCGGTTCCCGTTGGCCGTGGTGAGTCGGTGACACCGCTCGCTGGACCAGCAACCAGCGGTCTTCCGACGTTGCCTTTGACGTTTGTCTCGTTCGTTCGGACACAAGTAGCACAGCGCGATGAAGATATTGAAATGAGATTGCGATCTAATACAATACAATTGCATTTTTTGTACCATGAAATTGCAATATTTTTACATACATACATACATACATTTGAGTCGCTTTACAACGCGCCCGGGCGCTCTGCGACACCTAATCGCCATCCTTGCCTATTGCTCCAGAGGTCATCTGGTAAATGGCATCTGGTGATTTCATCTTGAATGCCACCTATCCACGATTTTGCTCGACGTCCCCTACGTCTTCTCCCAGGAGGTACCCAATCTAGTACCTTCTTAGGCAACCTATCATCTGCTATTCGTTGAACATGACCATGCCAGACAAGCTGTTTTATAATATTTTTACATCATTTTCTCAAAAACATAGATTTCAAAGATCAACAGATGAGTTACAGGTCGACAGCGAAACTGCCAAACCAAGTATCTCTGTTTGCAAAGTTACGGACTTTCTGTCGTATTTAATTTTATCAATGGATAATTACTTAGATTCATTTCTAAAAAAATTTCGTGATTTTTCTTCGCCGTGCGAAGAAAATTCTGAGAAAACTTTAAGGAATGATGTTTATTTCTTATCCTTTGAAAAAATAAAATAATAGTGGATATTTCGGGACGGTTGAATTCGTCCATTTTTGAATGATCAGCGACGCTGCGAGTCTTTCTCATTGCATTCGAGCTATCTTAGAGTAGGCAACTATTCGAACTCTACGGATGCTATGTTGCATACACGCTGGATTGAAGGCGAACTCCCCATCCGTATAACTAGGTACACACACCAAGGTACCCCTGACCTTAACTAATCGGACTAAATAGGATAACTAATTGGATCGCATAATTTTCCCTTTGTCTTCTTTGTCCATCGCTTTGTCTAACAATTTCAATGATTAGTCCGCAGGAGCGACAAGACGAGCCTTTTTTTTATGGAAATTACTTTAAAATTACAATGAACCCATAGAGAAGAAAAAACCCCATGAAATTCACTTTCAACCTCACAATCGGATTACTAAATTTTCGTGTTTTAGGGCTACCTGCTATGAAAGATTTCTACTGCGAAGACACAATTTGAAATCTGGAACAGATGAGTGATCTCGTACTCACAGTTTCATAAGAAACTCAAAATGGTTACTGTTTCATCGGAGAAAATCTGCAACTGCTTCGGTTTGAAACTACTCACAACTCATTTCTTTGGGAAACGTGTCGGTTATAGGACTTTTGGTCCAATTTTTTTTGTCCACAAATTTTTTCGTCCAATTTATTTTGTCCACGACTTTTTGTCCTTGAAATCTGGTCCAAGTTAAATTCGTCCTGGTAAATAGTTAGTCCTACGCATTTGTTCGTCCAGTGGTATTAGGGCACATTTCTGTGGTCCAGTAAGGTAAAAAAGTTATGTCCAAAACTCACGTCCAATGAGGCCGTTTCAGCTACTTCCTTTCAGCTTTCAGCTACTTTCAGTCATCGTCTGAGTCTTCTTCGTCCGAGTCCGGTGGATCTGCGCGTGGCGTGTGAATCAATTGGCGTTAAGATCAATTTATTTCGTAGCTATGGAGACCCTTAAATTTAATCCCAACATCGAAAGAAAAAACATCGAACCGGTGAGCAAGAAGTACACTACCGATCAGGCAATGATTGCCAACATCGTCCGAAATTACCAACATTACAAGGACACGAACTCACTTAAGAAGTACCTCCGAGCATGTGCGTACCACCTCAAGTTGCACACGCCACGCGCAGATCCACCGGACTCGGACGAAGAAGACTCAGACGATGACTGAAAGTAGCTGAAAGCTGAAAGGAAATAGCTGAAACGGCCTCATTGGACGTGAGTTTTGGACATAACTTTTTTACCTTACTGGACCACAGAAATGTGACCTAATACCACTGGACGAACAAATGCGTAGGACTAACTATTTACCAGGACGAATTTAACTTGGACCAGATTTCAAGGACAAAAAGTCGTGGACAAAATAAATTGGACGAAAAAATTTATGGACAAAAAAAATTGGACCAAAAGTCCTGTAACCACTTCATCCGTTTCTGTTGAATTCAATCCGTACCCATTAATAAAGACGACGGTTTAAAAGCAAGTTTCAAAGACCCATAAAAAAATTGTGAGAAATCATGTTTCAAGAGACCCTTTTGGATGACTTTTCAAATAAAATTTACGTCTGATGCAATGTGTGTATAAAGTCTTTCGGGAAAATTTTGACATTTCTTCAAATATTTAAAGCTTTTCCTTTTGTTCACTCGAGCGGTATCTCGTAAGTTTTACGAAACAACAAAAAAAAACTGAAGAGGGTTTTCTGGAACATAAATTGGACACGTTTACATGCTGAAAGGAGCCATGTAGGGATAAAAAAAAAGAAAATGAAAATATTTAGTGTATTGTACTCATCTTTACATAATTCCTCTTGGCAAAAGTACGTCCAATTTCAGCAGTTTCCTAGGACTATGTTGTAGCATACTGCACAATTTTTGACACTTTATCGGCACTATGAACAGTTAATTTCTGTACAGTTAAAACTTTTTCGACAACCTTTTCGACAACTTTAGCTGATCGAGGGAACGAGAGTCGTGATAAAAACTGCGCCGGCGCGGCTATCTTACCACTGAATTTTTAACTTTTCCATACCAGTTCAGTCACCTGAAGATGGGCGGCCTGGCCGAAATGGCCATTGTGCGTAAAGAATAGTAAAAAAGTCAGTCATCCAACTATAATCGGTTGTCGAAAAAGTTTTATTCGTACAGAAATTAAGTTTTATAGGAGCTGTCTTTTTGATATTAACGAGTTTTCATACAATTTCTACAACTCCTTTTTAACGATCATTGTTATTGGGGCAGGATTGCATGACTAGATCTCCACCCTATCCTGATAGACGTCCCCTACTCCAAAATAAAACCGAAAGAAAATAGGAGCTATGCGAGAAGGAAAACACTGACGAACCATTTTAGGTTCCCAGTATTCATTTATGGTCAAGTATGTCAGACACCCTGCACATGTATATCGATGACCGAGTCATGCCGGCGACTTTAGAGCGAGAGCAACAAATGACGATTCCTTTGCGAAAGAAGTCATTAAAACAGGTGGAGGGGGAAGACAAGGGGGGAGAGAAGGGGGAGATGTCATCTTTGCTCTCTCGTCCAGAGACATCAACTTTGAGCTTGTCTGAATCGAGCAGGATTCCAACAGCGGATCAAACAAGCTCGGTGTTGTCAGACCAGTCGAATGGGTCACCTCCACGTGCCGCAGTGTCGTGTTTTCATTAATTTTTACTGGTTGGCAAAAAATAATGACGTCCGGCCGAAGTCGAGCTCACTACATCCGACGTCAAGATCCGGATGCACCCTCGGTGCTGGAAATTAAGAATGAGGGCTGTCGCTATGGGCCTGAAGTGGCCGATTAATGATATTCAATCGTTTTTTTGGCAGAAGAATGTTTTTCGATCTGTGTCGAGACTCGGAATTTTTCGATCAGAATGTTTCTTTTCACCTGTATCGGTGCAAACATGAACAAATGTGTGCTTACGCGCTCAAAATCCTAGTAAGTACAGAAAAAAACTGAATGCTGAGCCGTAACTATTTAGATTAAATGGAACCAGCTAATATGGCAGTATAGTGCTGAGCCTTACAACTTTAGGGTCCAGCCCTATGGACTGCAGGTCTCAGCACTACGGCCATATTAGCAGGCCTCATTTGATGTAAACAGTTAGGGCTCTTCACTGAGTTGTTTTTTTCCGTGAAGGCAACTAGTAAAAAGTGTTTTTCCAATAACTCTTAGAAAATATTGAATAATTACGATTCAGAGAATCATTCTTCAGGAGCAGTCTTGTCAGGAGTGCTAGGATGCTTTAGCACCCCAAAAATTCTGATGGGTGGCTCAGGGGCCCCCCAAAACATCCCCATACATAAAATTGTAACAAGGTGGAGAAATGGTGCTGAGTCCACACCATTTCGCGGGGAAAACAAAGCTAAGAAATTCCAAAAATTAAAATTAGAGTCAAAATTAAATTTTTTGAACTCTAATGCGTATTCATGCATACTTACCCTTGAAATTTTCAGATATTTTAGATTAAATTGCGATCAAAATTGTCTGAAAATGTTGGAAAATAATTTTCGCAATTTCTCCAGTGAGTTCGGTTTTTATCAGAGGAAACTTGGCAACATTTGAAGGCACATACAGCGTTCTTCCTTAGCACTCTAGAATGCAATCATCTCTATTTCGCTGCATACATCAATTGCGATCCTCCGGAATTTTTTTTTAAATTTTCTTTTTTTAAAGAACCTCCGGATTTTTTAATTTTTTTTTTAAAGAACCTCCTGATTTGAGGGTATTTTTAATGATTGAAATGCTACTTCATGTTTCTTTGCCGTACCTATGAAAGCATCCGCGGGGGGTGCCGCCTCCAAGTCTGTGCTCCCGTCCCCGATCATAATGACCGTCTTGTAGTTATGTTTTTGTTTCAAAAGACCAACGACCTCCGCTTTGCCGCCGTTTTTAGACGTCGGGCAGTTGTGATCGAATCCTTTGTAGTTACCTGAAACACACTACTCCCCATTAGAAAGGAAAAGGAAAATTGGCTTTCGCTTGGCGGAGAACTTTTTGATGTCGGAAAGAGTCATATCGTTTCGTCTGCATTTTGTCATAAGGAACCACTATAATTGAGGAGTCAAGTACAAAAAACGGACTGGGTAGCAAAATCGCGCATCTAAAAAACAGCGATTGAATATTTACAATAATGTTATTCATATCAAGTCTAAGTTGACATGATTAAAATACAGAAAAATATTGTTGGAAATGTGAAATAACAGAAATAAAAAAGGTGTACGACGATTTTTGCACAGAACGACTGATTTTAGGAGTACCTGAGTTTTGTGTTTAAATGCCTGATACTTGGGCCGTTTTGTGCATCGAATCACTTTTAACCTATGTGGGATGCACTTGGGGGTCTCTAAGGAAAAAGCAAAGAAAAATTGAAAGGAAAAGTCAAATATTTTTTTAAAAAAAAATATGAAAAAATTGACAATTTTTTGTACTTAATAATGACAATATGTAAAATCCGAAAAGTTGTTTTCAGCAAAAACGTCCCGACTCCGTTCGGGTCGTTTTTGCACTTAACTCCTCAATTTCTAGCTCATTTTAAAAACTAAGTTTACTCTTAATATTTCTGTGCAGGCACAGATACTTTTCCTTCTCCTTCGTCAGAAAACTTTCGAAATTTTCGTCAGGTTGACGCAAGAGCATGGTCTTCTCAAAATGTAAAACGAGTCGCAAAAGGAGAAGAAGGGGACACAGCGTTATTGCTCCTTCCAAAATTTTTGTGATGTAATCAACTGTCGGTAAAATAACCAGAACAACAGAACAGCATGTTAAGGTTAAAGTACCAAGAAACACACGATGACCAACCTTCTTCGTCGAAGAGAATTTCGTTCGCGTAAATGTTCTCGATAGGTATGTTGAGGCCTTTGGCTATAGGCTCCACAATTACTCTAAAGCCACCAGTGACTAGATAAACCCTGGTCCCTTGCTTATGCAATCGCTCAATTAGATCTCTGCAACAAAAAACATGGACTAGATTTCATGAAAGTTCGAAACTTTGAAATAAAAAGACCACGAAGGGAGAAAGAATAATGAGCTTATTTAATCGCGCTAGTTCCTTTTTGCTACATGCGATCCATGATGTCTCCATAAAGAAAAGAGATATATCTAAGGAACAATCATGAGTTAGGCCCTGCCCTGAGCACATTGGCTTTCGGCCTAATACTCGTATCTCCGCCAACGAAGAAGTGGGTGTGACGCTGATCACGGCGCCTGGATGCAACTATTCGTACATTGCGGATGCCTGTGTTGCATACGCCAATAAATTAAGGCGATTTGGCCATCTTTGTGTCGTGCACTTACTAATTCGACTAATACGAGTAACAGACTACATTTTGCAATTAGGACCTACAATTTCTGGCTCGTTTTAGAAACAACCTACGTGCCATTAGTTTCCCTGAGCAGATAGATATTTTTACATTAGAACCAGAAATTGTAGTTCCTTATTACAAAATGTAGACCAATTTTAAGTCGGAACAGTACTTGAATGTTGAGGACAAGAAGGGTGGTCCTGGGCTTCATTCATGGCTATTGATGGAAAGAAAAGAGCCAAAAGTGACGAAAATACATTTTAATCGTATAGTATTCCTCTTATAATGACATCTTGAGCGCAAAACTTTAGTACATTACACTGCAACACTGCAGTATTTATTTTATTTTTTATAGTTTTTGTACTTAGATAAGTTACAAACTTCTCGGTTGTTTGTATTTTCACTTTTACTTATTCTTTAGAAACAAAGTGTATATTTTCATTGTGAAAGCTCGCTTGATACTAAAAAAAAAAAAAAAAAAAAAAAAAAAAAGTATTTATTTTATAGCTTGCTACTCTTGCCGCTACGAAAGTTCTCAATTTAGTAGGCTAAAAAGGAACTCTGGCTGTTTACGTCTAACATTGTCATTTAAAAAAAAAAAATAAAAAAAAAATTCGTGACTTTTAATCTATTTCACTTCCTGACATGAAAATTTCTCCTATTGACATCGATTTACAATAAGAGTTCTTTTTTGCTGACTTTTGATCAAGGCTTGATCCAATACAGGTTTTACTCACTTGATTCCCTGAGAATATTTTGGCGGACGACTGCTTAAAAAGTTTTGGATGGTCGAAGAACTTGGATTGATAATGCCCAGTCTTTTACTCAAGGAAGTCCGAAAGTCCATAGCTCCACCCATTGCCTGAGAGGTTCTGAAAGTTACGCCCAAATGAAAAGAAAAGAAAATATCGCAGAGGATTAATTTTTGAGGAGAGTGAGGTTTTTCAAAATTGTGATGCCTTACATTTCAAACTGTGATGAAAAACTGAAACAAAGACACTTGCCCATACAGTTGGACCTCCAACGTTATCTCTATCTTTAAAATCTGATTGAAAAAAAACCCTTAGGCAAATATATTTGTTTTCTTATATAGAATATATCAACGATGCAATCCGATCATTTATTATAACCAATTCTGGTCCTTCATTGCCTGTATACGAGGTCTGTTAGATTAGAAACCGGATTTTGGTCATAACTAGCCTACAATGCATTCAAATTACGTTTTCTTGAGCTTTTCTGATAGCTGAAAATATATTTAAGAACGCTACGTTCACAAATTTGAAAAATCCTAATTAGCTTCGTTGGTATGTGGTTTGAAGTAAGGCAACCTCAAGGGTGTTTTGCGATTTTTATGTTTGACCGAACTTGTCTCTCTTTTTTCGGTCTTGCACAACATTTTTCAACCCACAAGGACGATTGGAGTTTCGTCTCCATATCGTAGCCGTAAACTAAAGTATTGTCACCAAAAATTATCCTATCCAAAAATGTAGGATCATTGTTAGAACGTTCAAGCAGCTAAAGGTAATTTGACATTTGGTTGGATTCTCGTTCAAGGGACAACAATCAAGGGGCAAGTGTACCTGAAACTCGATGCGTGTCTACATATTCTATCAAAATTGTATGTACAGAGCCTTCAGAAATATTACTCTGTTCAACAAGCCCGAAACGATCATTTTCGAGCACTTTTGCCCGCCTTTCTTCCTCATGACAAATGTCAGTCGCCGTTGAGGGTCGATTCCCATGCTCCTCATTTTTGACGAACTCCTGACCAGTTTTGAATCGTTTAACCCATTCAAAACAGTGGGAACATCTCATACAATGATCATGGTAAACTTTTCTTAGCATATACCAAAAGTTTCGGTACACGGTATACCGAGTTTAAAACAAAATTTAATGTTGAATCTTTGCTCTGTCAGTGATCGCATGCTAAAATCGCAAAACGCACCTGACTTACTCGTATTCAAGATGACACAGAATAAACACAGATCAAAATAAACAAAATCTGTGAACGTAGCGTTCTTAAGTATATTTTAAGCTACCAGGAAAGCTCAAGAAAACCCAATTCGGACGCATTATGGGCTAGTTATGACCAAAATCCGGTTTCTAATCTAACAGACCTTGTATACTCACGTAGTGCATTTCATACCAGGGCCGGATTTACCTACTTGCCGCCCATGGGCCGCCTGTATTTTGCCGCCCCCTTCTCATTCGTTTTGAAACATCAATTAAAACCATCAAGTGAACGCGCCGGAGGGGAGGGGTGCATAAGACGCGTATACCTGCTCATGTTGGATACATTTCAAAAGTTGCAAAATTTCACGGAACTTGACGTGAAAGTTAAGTTCCGTAAACCTATCTCTGTGTGGACAAGGTCCTCCATTTATAAGAAATGAACCAAAAAAGTATGAAAGAACAAACATAAAGGTGGTTTAATAAGTTTAACTTCCGCCGCTGCACCGCGCTGATCGCACTAAGTTGTGCGCAATGCGTGAAGTATTCCTGCAGCCTTGTAGGCGCTATGCGTTTCACGCCAACCGCTCCTGGCCGCACTGTGTTTGGCGCAATGGGTGAAGTATTCATGCAGTCTCGTAGGCGCAAATATGTGTTACCTACGTGCCGATCGCCGCGCCGATGGCTTGTCCTTTTCATCTCAAGTCCTCGTCATCATTCTTCTCTAATTAGAAATTACTATACTCTTAGTAAAAAGAGATTTTGTTTCCTTTACTTATTGATATTTTTTTTCTGACTCCGATTTTTTTTATACCTACATTTAAAAAAATTGCAAAATTTGCCTCCCCCTTTCGCCGCCATGGGCCGCGGCCCATGTAGCCACCTCCTTAATCCGGCCCTGTTTCATACTGCTGTTGTTGTTGCTGCTCTTGTTGTTGGTAAGGAGCATGCAAGAGCTGAGATGCATATTGTCAAGCGAGCTCTTCAACGTTGCCCTCAGATTGCAAGGAACCTGCGGGCCGATTATTAAAACTGATAGACAAAGCTATAGACAAAGACGACAAAAAGGATTTGAAGGGATCCTATTGGTGGAAGCAGGTGGTAGCAATGGACATAGGAGGTAGGTAATGGACTAACCCTANTGAAAACTGTCCCTGAACCTATCAATAAAACGTTTCTAATATGTGTCGTAAAAATATTTTTAATACATTTATAAAATGTGTTAATGATACGGGAAAACTGTCCTCTCATTGAAACATTTTAAAACTGTGTTAGAAATGTATCAATTGAAAGATCCGATATAGACACTTACCGAAACATTTTAGAAACCTCTCCCAATTTTGTGACACCACTTGTGCTATTAGGGAACTAACGGCAACCCACCAAAGACCCGACAGTTAGTCCATCATTTTCTTCCTTAGTCTATAAGAACCAACCATGTCAACCAATAGGATCGCTCTATACTCCCTATGTCTTCTTTGTCTATCGCTTTGTCTATCAATTTCAATAATCGGCCCGCAGGTGCTATACGGTGATTTTTTTTTAGCAAAGCAACTAAAAGCACGCTCAAATTGTCGAAATGATCGCCAGTTCGACCATACACCCGAACCCAGGATGAAGTCAGGATAGGCTGTTAATGACTGGGAAAATCTTATCGATTTTGGTGTAAAAAGATGTGATCAAAGGATTCTATTAGAGGAGAAATAAAACACTTTACTGCAAGTAAGCTTATGTTATCACGACTAATATTTTACTTGATGTAACGCGGTAATGACTCGCCTCCTCGACGGAACAAGTTTTTCTTTCAATTCAAGGAACCTACAAGACTATTTTACATCTGCTACGTCAAAGACTCTGTTGTGTGAAAAGTATCGGTTTATTTTACATTGTTAGCATTGATAGATGCTATGTTATCATTCCGATCCACTCTTTCATGGGAGGGCATGTTTAATGATGAAGCAGCTTAATCAGTTTATGATAAGTCATCGTTTGCTAAAGATTAATAACCATTGCTAACATTTGCAAAAGATTAATAACCCTGAGAGAACATTAATGGGCAGGTAACTCACCAAAAACATGTTCTAAAGATTTACTCTCTTTGACCACAATGCTCATAAAATTGCAAATGGAAATACTTACAGTTGGGTCACTTCTTCAAACTTCCCGCAGTGTTTGGCCAATTCATCTATGGCTTCCTCTTGGATCACAGTTGAATCAACATCGAAGCAAACAGCGTCTGCGCTCTTCAGAAGTGACTTAATACTTTCTGCACTCATCCTGGCAGTAAAAATCCTCCCTGTTTTGTTCAAAGAAAAATTCAGGGAAATGATTAAGGTGACTGAAGGCCACTGAAGTGGCAAGTTTTTCGGAGTCAGAAAGAGGGCTGTATGCAGAGGTGCAAAATTTCATGAAATTTTGTAAAATGTTAAGAAAATTTGTAAAACTTTGGCAGTCGACTCAGAATATCATGGAACGCCCGGACAGTGAAATCTTCATTTTGAAGAACTTTTTGGAAACTTTTTTGGTCAAATTTCGAGGCCTCTTCATGAATTCTCATCAAATTGTTGCAGGTTATATACACAGCTCTTGTAACATCATTTTCCATGCTATTTAACTCTCCAGCGAAACGAATTCCATTCGAAAATTTATTTTGAAATTTATGGCTACATTCATTATCGGCGTGCTAGAAAGTCGGCTGCAAGCAGAATCTGCGTAACTTCATTACATGATGACCAATTTCTATTTTTTTTTCTTTTAAAAAAAAACCGTGGAATCTTTTGTACTGAAACTTCACGAGTATGTTTTTACAGAATTCCAGGTACATTCACAGAAAATTTAAAAGCGTTATAATTCACAGTGTTTGATTAGAGAAACGATCAAACATGGGAAGAAATTAGGCAGTATAGAGTTTGGATGATCTGATTGATGCCGTTCACATCTAATTTAGTGCAAATTTACATGAGACTTAATACGGCCTTTGATAGTAGCAAACGTTTTTCAACAGACCCTCCAGTTTTATAAACACGGCAACAGGAGTGATTTTAGACCAGTAAAAGGGCTTTGCACCGCAAAAAATTATGTGGCGAGAAAAACGACGAGCCTCGCCTCGCCGCACAGTGGAACGAGCGAATAGAAGAAGTCGGACACGAAATTTTTGGCTAAAATTTCAAATTTTCATGTTTATCTCGTCTTAAATTCAATTTCAAGGGGTGATTTTACAAGGGAATTTCACGAAAAAACCAATGGAATCGCTCTTAAACTCTATTGTTTTGTATATACGAAGAGATAAGCTTTCAAAGTTTCCAAATTTTGTCCGATCTCTCCCATTGACTCGATCCACTGTGCGCCGTCGCGCTGCACAGCATCGCATCGCCCAGAAGACAAGAGAAATTAGAGTGCCTTCAAATGTTTGTGTATGCAACATAGCCAACTGCAGAACACGAATAGTTGCGTCCGAGCTTTATCATTTCGGTTGTCTAAATTGGACGTATTTATGCTAAAAGGAACTAAGTGCATAGGGTTTGCGTGCAATATGGTTCCTTGTGGCATAACTACGTCCAATTGTCTCTTTTTCATGTTATTTTGCTTTTTATAGTGAGAGTTAACGCCTCAACGCTGAATACAACCCTAAAAACTATTTTGAGTGGGCGGAAAATTAAGGTACTTTTTCTCGGCAAAACTGCACTTCTTTTTGAGAGAAAGTAAGAAATTCCCAACATTTTAAAACTTCCCACGGGGCTGACGCGATGACTCACGATTAGCTTCCTCTCAGTGCCGTGGCGTACTTTGCGATCTATCGATATTTTCCCATTTGAAGCTGTGGTAAATAATCGATTATTAAGGTGTTCGCTGCGAACACCCTGTTTAACGATACTTTTCCATGGGTTTAAATGACCGACCAATCGATATATCGCAAAGCACGCCACGCCACTGCTTCCTTCTGTATTTTCAGGCCTGTTTTTCCCGACACGAATATCACGTAATTACTTGGGCGATGTATTGTGTTTTTGCCGGATTTACCCAGGGCCGGATTTACCTACTTGCCGCCCATGGGCCGCCTATATTTCGCCGCCCCCTACTCATTCGTTTTGAAACATCAATAAAAAACATCAAATGAACGTGCCAGTGGGGGAGGAGTGCATAAGACGCGTTTACTCGTGTTGGACACTTTTCTGGGGAAAGACCTGTCAACACTACTAGCAAAAGTTCACGGAACTCGGCGAGAAAGTTGAGTTTCGTAAACCTATCTCTGAGTGGACAAGGCCTTCCATTCATAAGAAATGAATGAAAAAATTATGAAAGAACAATCATAAATGTGGATCAATGTTTCAACTTCCGCCGCCGCGCGGACCGCACCGTTTTTGGCGCAATGCGTGAAGTATTCCCATAGGCTTGTAGGCGCTAATATGTGTTACATGCCGACCGCCGCGCCGCGCCGAGGGCCTCTCATTTTCATCGCAAGTCCTAGTCATCGTTTCTCTCTTAGTTCTAGGCCAAATTGCGTCTTTGGTTTCTCTCTTAACTCGACTGATTATAGGTGCTGTCTTTTGTATCACTGAAAGACGACAAAATTAGAAATTACATTACTCTCGGGAAATGAGAGATTTTGTCGCCTTTTCTCGTTTGTAATTTTTATTTCTAAATCCGATTTTTTTATACCTACATGTAAAAAAAAATTGGCCGCCCTCTAAATTTGCCGCCATGGGCCGTGGCCCATGTGGCCACCCCCTTAATCCGGCCCTGGATTTACCTTTTAATTTCGAACAGCTACTTCCGTGATAATTTAGAATATATGGACCGCATTTAACAGAGAGAAACCAAGCCGCATCAGCTACTGCCAAATTCCACCGGGCAATTTAATTTTCTAGGAGAGAACTTTTGTGCGGATTCCTTTGAAAATTTTAAGAAATTTGCTTCGTACTATGTAGACAATTCACTGAAATTTGCACGAAAATCTGCACAACCGTTTCATGTGAAGAATTTAATTGCCCAATTAAATTTGGTAATAGCGGATGTGGCTTGCGGTTCTTTTCTGTTTATCGCGGTCCATTGTATCACCGATGATTGAAACGTTATGATCCAGTTTAATTCAAAAGAATGGGCCGGGATGAACATGAGCGTTGTGTATTATAAATCGTAAAATTAAATATGTTTTTAGGGGTGCAGACGGTGTAGAGCATATGTGGATCCAGCAATTTGGCAACGCTGGAGTTCCTCCATTTAAACCTATGTTAAATTATCGATTATTGTCGGCGCAACTGGCCCCTCCGAGAGTCGATACATTTCCATAGGTTTAAATGGAGAGAAGGCAATGTTGCCAATTTGCTGGACCCGCCAATGGTGCAGAGTACGTTCGCGCGTGTTAGCCCCGATTAGCACGTGACTTGAGGAAATCCGTCACCTCGTGGGAAAATATCTTTTATTAATCATATTATTTCGTTTGGAGAAAAAGAGGGCAAAGGAAAAACGCGCTGATTTTAGTAACTTATTTCCGTCGTTTATTTTCCGTTTTAACGTTTTTCCGGGCTGAGGAAATTTCCTAACGCGATTGACTTTGCTACTATTCTGCCGTGCTAAGGAAGATCGCCGTATGAACCCTTAGGCGTTGCCAAATTTCCTAGGGTAAATTACGAATTCTCGGGAAAATTTGCAAATATTTTTCTTCGAATTTTTCATGTAATTTTGTTCGCAATTCACATAAATCTTCTAAAAATTCAAGTTAAAATACGCACTGCTTTCCTCAAAAATAAACATTTTATCGAAGGAAAGATGGCAACTCTCGAATGTTCATCAGCGTTTTTCCTTAGCACGGAAAAAAAACACATTGGATCTAGAGTCCAGACTCTTGAAAACATTGACAAGAAAAAATACTCTTGATTCAATCGGATTTTTGCTTGAATCAAAACGAAATCCGCTTAAAATAAGAGGCTTGGTTCTTGATTTAAGCTAGATTCTGATTGATTCAAGAGTACTTTTTCTTGTCGATGTTTTTAACAGTCTGGACTCTAGATCCAATGTGTTTTTTTTTTCAGTGTAGCACGGTAGAATTCAGCGGTGCACCTTTTGCAGTGGCGTGGCGTGAATTGCGATGAATCGATTTTTATGACATTTAAATCTATGGAAAAGTATCGATGAACAGTGTGTTCGTAGCGAACACTTCAATAATCGATTCTTTACCATAGGTTTAAATGGCATAACAATCGATACATCACAATTCACGCCACGCCACTGACCTTTTGAGGAGCCGCATTTTTTGGCTCGCGTGGACCTGGAATTTTGAAACGGGAGCAAATGATCGAAAGGAGACTCACCGTTGGAGCCTTTGCGGAGCTTCGGTGAGGACACGTTGATAACCGGTGTTCCGAATCGACGGGTGTTTTCCTCGACTGATAAACCGTTTATCGTCAACGTTGCCTCTAATCTCGGTCCTTATCACCAAGCGCCAGATAACAGATTTCGACCGCGTTGTCTCGGGGAACTTGGCTACAGTTTAACTCGAACTACGACCACTTCAGTATCAATGCGCGACTCTTCAATCGCACTGTCCAATACTGCCGTGCTAAGGAAGTACGCCGTATGAACATTGAGACGTTGCCACGTTTCCTCCGATTAAAACCGAATTTACTAGAAAAATTGTGAATATTATTCTCCGAAATTGTCGGACAATTTTGTTTGCAATTTGATCTAAAATATCTGAAAATTTCAAAGAAAAATATGCATGACTTTCCTCAAAAATACTGTTTTATCCGGGGAAATTTGGCAACTCTCGAATGTTCATACGGCGTTTTTCCTTAGCACGACAGTATATTGCATCGTGAAATGGGCACTAACGATCAGACGGTAATTTAAATTGATAACATAATTTGGCTTGCGTTTTGCAAAAAGAACCAAGAGAATTCCAATGCCGCTGAGATTGTGCAACTTTTTTTTACCTTGCAAATATTAACTGATCATCTAAACAAGTTTGATCTTTACTCCCGATAAACTATGGATTCAAGACGAATATTACCTTTGTAATTTTCATTTTTTGCATGGCTTCGGTAATTTTTTGCAAGAATGTAAGTTGCACAATCTTAGCAACATTGGAACGCTCTAAGTTCCTTTTTGCAAAATGCAATCCATTTGAGGAGTGGAGCTGTGGAACAGTATGACTCTGCTGACAAAAGGAAAATATTCACTTTTAGAGTGTGATGAGAGTAAAAGGTAGTGAAAACTTCTTTCAGGAATGTCCAACGGTTTCGGAGTGAAGATAAAATTTGCGAGGAGAAGTTTTGAAACGTCGAAATGTCGTCACGTGGTCGGATCTCAAAGACGAGAAATGAATCAAGTGACTAATTCTGTCGTGCTAAGGGAAAACGCCGTATGAACATTCGAGAGTTGCCAAATTTTCCCGGATAAAACACGTATTTTTGAGGAAAGTCATGCATATTTTTCTTTGAAATTTTCAGATATTTTAGATCAAATTGCGAACAAAATTGTCTGAAAATTTTGACGAAAAATATTCATAAGTTTACTAGGAAATTCATGTGTTATCAAAGGAAATTTGACAACGCCTGAAGGTTCATACGGCGTTCTTCCTTAGCACGGCAGAATTGATGGGCGGTTTTGTAGGGATTTTGCTTCTGACGTTTGTGCTGATTGTTCGGGGCAATATTTTATATTTTGTTCTCCGAAGTATAATTATAAATAATCTATGAAGTTTTGAAAATTATATTGCTGCACCGGTGAGAGGCTCATTCATTATCCTCTATGAAAAAATTAATAAAGAACTCAATATTTATCTTTATTCAATATGAGTCCCACACTGAAAAAAAATTCTCGGCGTTTTTACCAAGGTCCGTTGGTACCTTTACCATCTCAGTTTTTTACCAATTATTGGTAATTTTACCAAGACTGACTAGTAAGCTTACCTAAAAACCGGTATTTTTACCGTTTTTTTCAGGTAAGAATCAGTGGCGTGGCGTGCTTTGCGATATATCGATTGTTATGCCATTTAAATATATGGAAAAAGATCGATAAACAGGGTGTTCGCAGCGAACACCTTAATAATCGATTCTTTACCATAGGTTTAAATGGCATAACAATCGATACATCGCAAAGCACGCCACGCTACTGGTAAGAATACCACTCTTATTGGTAATCAATTCCCGGTAACTTCGCCATTTTATCTCGATAATTCTACCACAGTCGATAAAAAATATTGGCGTTTTTACCAAGGTCCAGTAAAATTACCGAGAAAGTTCAATAATTTTACCCAGCTTTCTCGGTAAAATTACCAATTCCATAAATGGTAATTTTACCAAGAAAAAACTGGGATCAAATAGAACCCTGAATTCTTGGTAATTTTACCCTTTTCTTAGTAAATACACCGAGATTTTTTTTTCAGTGCATATTACCTAGAAAAATGCTTTTAAGTCTTGAAAATCCCAATCCTGTTGGATGGAGCGAGCCTGTGACCACAGATCTCGTGACGCAGCCTTGGAACCGCCCCTATCTTTAACCACCAGCGTTGCGTACTGCTGCGTCCCAATTTGAGGTTATGTCTCAAAAGTTTGCGTCGAGGTTAAAATGCGTATTACCGACACGAATTCTTTTACTTCAAACCGAAACAAAAATTAATATTCTCAAACCACTAGGTAACGACACTACGCTTTCTTATAATGAAAATCCTAAAAGCAGAACACAATTACAAGTCAAATGATGTCACGGGGTACACGAGGGGACACAGACACAGTTAGAATGGCGGCCATACTGTTTGTTGACTCTGTATGCAAGTACGCAAGCAAATGATATCAGTGCTTGGAGCCAATAGAAAGGTTTAATTACGCTTTACAGCTTCGAGTTGCCTTTGGGAAAGAAGAAACAAATTTTTCTAGCAAAGCTCGCTGTACGAGATCGAGCATGAATCGAGTGGCTTTTCAAGGGTTCAGTGTTTCTGCTATCATTAAGTCTGTCATTCAAAGGAAAAACACCGTATGAGCTTTCAGGCGTTGCCAAAGTTCCCTTCATAAAGTACGGATTTCTTGATAAGTTTATGAATATTCTTATTCCAATTTTATTGTAAATTTTTTTCGCAAAACCACCCAAAGATTCAAAAATTTTCAAGGAAAAAAGAATACTTCTTTTCAAAAATTAAAATTTTATCGGAGGAAATTTGGCGACACTCGAATGTTCATACGGCGTTTTTACTTAGACTCAGACTAGGGGGTAGGGGGACGAGTGCAGGAGGTAACAAACGGCATAAGATTATCGAGAAAGACGAGTGCATATGTTAAAAATTACTTGGAGTCTCATACGGCTTAAAATATTTTTATAACGATACTGTGGGGCTAGGGGCTGAATTTTGAGTTTTGTAGGTCAATTTTCTTTCCAATACTACTTTGGTGCAAGATTGGCCAAACTCATCAATATTTCGATTTTGCTAAATTGTCTTTTGGATCATCCGTCAACCGAAACCTTTCATTTTTATACCCAAACATCACGACTCAATGTTTTCAAACATTTTGTATTCAATGCTGGGGACTCTCTCCTTCTCATTTCTATTTTTATAGGAATCGAATTCGGGTGGAGATGAAAAGATTGCCACTAAAGCAGGCTTGTTTCTGGAGCACAGAAATTTCACTGGACTAGAAATTGCGTGGAAGTTTGAGCGAAGATCACTTTTGATAACACATTGGACTACAATAATATCCAGCAGAGCTAGGCTACATATTAGCTGTTCTGCAAAAAATCAAGAGAAAAATGGGATTTCCGTCAATTATTTAGCTCCTTGAATCATTTCAATTTTACAAAAACAAACAAAAAAGTCCAAGGTGAAAATTTCTCATGTGAAAAACTTGACAAGTACTGGACAAACACCCGTTAAAAATAAGATTCAAGAATTGCGACTTGCGAGACGATCAGAAGGTGTTCTAAGGCAGATGAAAAATGCCTTCAGTTCCGCGTGATACCACATTAGACGCAGCAGTTGAATTGCCACACGCCTAACCATACAGGGTGGTCCCGAAGTCCTTTCCACTCCCTCTAACTGTCTATGTATGGAACCATTTTTAAAAAATATTGCCCTACGATTGTCGATAAGATAAATGCAATTCAGAAACTTATATATAATACATATAAAGTCGCTTTACAACGCACTCTGGCGTTCTACGACACCCAAACGCCACATATGCCTGTCTTCCCAGAGGTTATCGGGCAACTGACACCGCAACATCTTTTCGTCAACGCTCTGCCGCCAACCCTTTTTCGGGGACGTCCCCGTCGCCTCTTCCCAGGTGGTGCCCAATCCAAAACTTGTTTGGGCAACCTCTCCTCCGACATTGTTTGCACATGTCCATACCAGCATAACTGCCTGGACATGACGTCGTGCACGATATCTTTCTCAACCTTCATCACCTGGCGAATTCTCTCATTACGGACACGGTCCCGTCTCGAAATGCCGGCAGATCGCCGCCAAAAATCCATTTCAGTTGCCCTCAACATTTCTTGCGTTCTTTTTGTCAAAGGCCACACTTCACTACCATAGAGCACGATACTTTTAACGATGGCGTCATATATGCGGTGCTTGTTTGCCTTTGAGATGCTCTAATCCCAGAGCACCCCGTTCAGCATTGCGATGGCTCTCCTGCCCTGGATAAGTCTGGAGAGTTGAACTGCCATATTACCGCGGAATGGACCACTAGACAAGGTACGAATTTAAACAATCTGATACATGTTTCTTAACCAAAATTTCACGTAGAACACGATTCACACAACGAAAATTACTGAAACCAACTCCTAACGAAGATATTAACATTTTTATTTCACATTGGTTACGAGGAATTTGAATTGCCCGCTCACAAGAAACTCAAAGCTCTACGTGAGTCGAATCGCGCACTATAACGGTTTCAGCAAGCATCTCAACCGAGCAATGTTCATTTCCCGCAATGTATTTTCCAAACTATAAGCAATTTGCTATAGCTGAGCCAAAGCGTCAAGATCGACGTTGCCAGATTTTTATATCTCAGAAACTGTCATGATAAACGTTTAGCGCGCTATGTGAATCACGTAGAGCATTGAGTTTTCATGAGCGGGTGGTTTGAATTCACGCATCAGGAATCATTAAATATCTTCGTGAGGAGTTCATTTCGGTCATTTTCGTTGTGCGTATCGTATTCTACGTGAAATTTTGGTTAAGAAACATGCATCAGAATGCTGAAATTCGTATCTTGTCTAGTAGTCCATTTTATTAAAACTAAGATTTTGAAATTTTAGGATTTTCATAGATTTTTAAATTTTAATTTTTTTCTTCGA